TATTGCCCCATTTAAGTAGAGTGTAAATATAGTAGGCCAATTACTTTTAGTTGATATTAAAGCACCGATCATTCCTTTCATCGAAAGAGGGCCCAGCTAGTACACTCTAAGTGTATAAGCAGCAGTAGCGGTGGGTAGACCAACATAAGGGCGGAGCTTGGGTTGCTTTCCCTTCTTTACCACCAAATGGCAATCAATAAAAACAAAACAGTGATGATTTTTCTACGCTAACCGTGAGCCACAGCATTTTGAGAACCATTCAAACGAGAAGAGTCACATTATTTTGTCTTCCATCTCTTTGTTCTAAGTTAAATTCTTCCGGATGGTTGGACGAAGTTGTTTCCCCTCCAAATTTCCTCTAATTAATTTCCGTCTGATGAAAAAGTGGCCTTCAAAGTGTTTCTACGTGATACCTGTTAAATCTCAGCGGCACAAATTTAAACATGCACACTCGGCACTTAAAACATATTCAGTCTATAAACTGGATTAGGCCGTGTAGTCGAGGAAAGAAGAAAGCACATAACAAAGGTCCAGTGAGCGTATAGGTAACTGTGTCACAGGGGGAAAGTGTGTCGTAAACTTTCACCCCATTGTCAAGGCTCGAGAGCGTGAGCCCTCAATATAGTGTTCTTTTTTAAAAGTCTTCTACCTTTCCACAATAAGAGTTTTATTAAATATGGGCAGTGGGAACAGATTCATCCTTTGCTGGACCCTAGAGACGTGTGATAGGCTATTAGGTTACTATATAGCCATACACGTTGACAACAGTAATACGATAAACGAGCAAGCCGCTAAGTTGATCACTCTCTTTGCGTGCTATCATAACGGTTTAAAATGCTTATTTCATTATATGAAAAACTTTTTTGGGAGCGAATGCTGACTTGTTTGACAGGGTAATCAAAGTGAGACAGGACCAGATAGGGCCTGAGCTGAACGTACACACCTGGAGATATCACACAAGAATCTTACTCGAATTGGCAAACACTGAGTTCAGAATGAAAACAAATCCTGAATGCATATTGTATTTTCAACCGCCAAAATATTCGGGAAAGGATCTCATAAAATATTTATTCCAACTATCATCACATTAAACTTTAGATGTGAATACACAGACTCAAAGCAAAGAAGCAGAGATGACGACAGTACTACATGTTATACCAGTGAGTCTAAACTCTTAGGTAGAACATGACAATTATCAATTTTTTTCTTCTTCACATTTGGCTGTTTAGCTTTTTGCAGCCAGGAGCCGGTGTTACAATGGAGGTCACAATCTCTTTATAGGACGGTAAAAAGTCAAGTGAAAGAAAAATCAAGCACTTGCAGCAGTCAAGAGATTATTAGGAGTCAGCTCCCCTCACATTTGTGAGGTAGACTCGACCAGTGTAATAGTTCGCTTACATAATCAGTGCTTGTGACTGCTTATGACTTTAGCCCAAAAGGGGTGAACAGGGTATATGTGGCAATGAATCAGTTTTGAGTGTAGTGCCCAAGCTCCCTTCAACCCTTTTGCTAGACTCTTCCAGCCTCACTTTAAGCTTACTTAATCAACGCTTGTGAATGCTTTTGGAGTGGCCGGAGAGGGGTGAACAGGCTATTTCTGTGATTATGAAACCGTTTTGAAAGTTAGGCATACAGTTTATAGGTGATTATGAACGTCTTTTTACATTTAATTTATGAGGTTTACGTCTATAAATGAATTAGACTGCGATAATCTTTAAAAATTATAAACGGAAGCAGTGATTATATAGACACTTCGCCACTGGAAACTTTCATTGACTTTCGGGTAGAGCTGGGAGAGGGGGGGCGGGGGGACTCAAGCTCGTGCGCTCTTCACTATCAAACGCCACTGATAAGCAGTCGATACATGACATATAAATACAAATAAATGCAATAATACATTATATTTACTGCTATTGATCCAAGTACGCAATATCACAACAAACAGAGACAATTAACGCGTACGTGCAGGTCGTCATTGTGTAGCGCTCTGCTTTTTCCTTTATTTTTTGGGGGCAAGGTTTATCGTAGTGACCACTCGTCTAAACACTGTGGCTCCAAATTAAATTAATACTTAACATTTTTGCGGGCCTTGAGCCACTAACCGCTCAGCCAGTGGGTCCCCTATAAGATGAGCCGTTTTATCAGGGAACGTTGTGATTAGTGCGGTGCAAATGAAAGAGGAATATAATATCCTTGACACTACAAAACGCGATTTCCCTGCC